TGTTATTGTTATTATTGTTATTATTATTATTATTATTATTATTTATTTTACAGATCAACTTCATATTTATCTTCTGATAAAATGTATAATATAATAACTGTAACATAACTGTACAAAGTTGGAAGTATATTTAATTTACATAACTTATGTGTGATTCGTAAGCAAGTTTAATATTATTATTACATACTGATTAAGCAATCAATACAATATCATTGCGCGTAAGTTACATCAACAATTTGTTACTAATAAAAAATATCCTGGACTTTAAATTATTCCGAAGATTTCCGTTAATTCAGTATTGTTCTCTATTTTAATAACCCACTTTTCTTAAAGCATTAAAGTCTAAATTCAGTCGAGACCTCAACTTTTGATTTCAATATAATAGTGCGGAACTTTGAGATTTTTTTATTTTTTTACCTCTCTTTTCATTCATTTCTTTTTGTTATCTTATTACTTTCATCTTCTATAAAGAATCGCATTCATTAACTATGAATCTAAAATAAAAAAGTTTTAATGAATTCAAGAAATCCTTTCATAGAATAGCTCTTAGAAAATCAGTCCTTCACTAAAGAAGTGTTTGTGTAATTTATTTATTAAAGAGTCGTTTAAGATTCAGTGTTGCTCATTAAATGTTTTTAATTAAAACAAAAAACTGCATAAAATTTCAATTCTAATTGTATAGAAATTTTTTAAATAATCAGATCTTATACAATTTAACAATATTTTGGTATAATATAACTAACAGATTGTCAATACGTTTTTTGTGTAAGAATAATATTTCACAAATAACTATAAAGATTGAATATTGAAAAATGAATTTTAAAAAAATTCATGTTTTATTTCTTTAATGAAAACTGTGACTCGTAGTCTTGTGTACCGGAAAGATTGGTTGCATAGAGATTGAATGTGTGCATTGACGATGGCAGCATAAATGACTAATGTATGTGTTATGCGAAGATTGACTAACCAGATGACTAGATATCTCCAAATTTATAATACTTATAATCTATAAACAACTATGATATTAATGCATAAGTACTAGTATTCTGCATCCATCTCTAACAACATTACTAACGTATGAAATAAATTCTGTAGAAACAAAATATGCACTGGTATTCAGTGGTTCTTATTACATATATTGCTGACATAATAATTTCAGAATAAACGAACGCTTTAGTTTAAAATTTAATAAAGAAAATAATATAAAAAATAGAGTAATTAAACAGTATTATAAATACGATATTATAAAAACATGATTTTATCAAGGGCTTATTATGCCAAGGGCTGATGAAATGCATTTATATTTCTTAAAATAGATTAGTTTTTTCATTGAGCTGACTATTTTTAAGTGGGACTACATTATTAACTACTCAATCTTCCATATTTAATCATTTTGATTATCATTTTCTTATCTTTTTTTAATCAACGGATTACCACCTTTTAATTAATTTTACAAATTTTATTTGCCTTTCTTATTTATACTATTGAATTTTAGTATAATATTTATAGAATACTATTAGAATATTCTTTTATGTAACAATAACGACAATAATAATAAAGACTTTAATTAAACATATTTACAATAATAATCATTATTGTATACATTAAAAAAGATTCTATATTTTTACGTACACTTATTATTGAAAAAATTCTATTATAAATGTAAAGATAAATTCATTGACCTAAAATCTAATAATAATTATTATTATTCCTATATATTATAAAAATGCTAAATGATTTTGATTAATCCCAAGAAAATAATATTAAGAAAAATAATTTTAATATAGAAATTATATTTCATTTTCTAGTTTAAAGATTAAATAAATTAATTTTTTTTAATTGTTGACTACTTTAATATATGAATTGCAATATTTTTAAATTAAACTTTATATAATGAAGTTCATTATTTTTAAATAATTCAAACAAACAATTGAAAAAGTGCCCTTTTAAAAGTAAACTTATAAATAAGATATTTTTAACGTTAATTTTAGCAGGTTATATTGATTTGCACAAATAATCTTATTATTAAAAGTGATTACTTTTCGATATAGTGCCTTAAATATTTAAATTATTAATACTTAAAATAGTAATTATAGTGAGTTCTCTATAAATATTAAAAAGAGATGAAATAAGTTTGATTGTGAACATAATTTCTTCTTATAATTTCTTTATCATAGCAATTTTGAATCTTAATTCATGAAGTTTAAATTGAATATTTTAAAAATGATATACTTTTAAAAATATTGGTTTTTAAAAATCGATACTTCTATATTTCAAAGTATTTCGAAATTCTAAACTTTTTTGTAATAATATTGATAGTTAAATATCACAATTCATCAAACTCTCTATAAAATTTTCTGCGACTGTAGGTATGGAAAATGTTTAAAAATATTGACATAAATAATAAAAATTTCAAATGACATCTTATAATTTAATATTAGTCAAGATTTTTAATAATAATAATATATGAAATAACTTAGATAAACTAATTATGTAATTATTTTGTACTTTGTCACGTAATTTAATAAATACGCTATATCTTTCTGGATCTATTTAATTGAAGTTTAAAAATTTTTAATAAGGAATAAGTCAACTTTAAGTTAAAGATAAGGTTTCGTGCCTTTAAAGAATATCAATTTATTTAGTACAAGTATTAGATTTCATAAAAGTGAGTTAAAACGAAAAAAATTTGGGTGCACATTAAATGAATTATAATTTAGCAAATATATTAAATACAATAAATAAAAAATAATGTAGCAATAGAAACGAAAAAATTATCACCTACGAATAACTTAAAGTGTAGTCGATTTTGGTTGTATTAACATTTACACTTAAAAATGGTTTAGTGTTATCATTTAGATGTGCTTTAATGTAATACACTGTACAACTGAAGAATTTGAACAAACAAAAAAGTTATAAATAAGTAATAATATAAATGTTGTGCATTATAATATATTTTATTTCTCGAATAATTAAATACCTTCGATTTATTTTACTTTATAAAGAAAGTATAGGAAATATAATCATATATATGCAATGCTCAATTTAATTTAAATATGCTCAAATATAAATTTCTTTAAAAATAATATTATTTAATATATTTAAAATATTGGATTATTTATAAATAGTAAAATATTGCAATTACTAAAACTAAATATATCTATAATATATTTACAGTTTCAAAATCTATTATATCATTAAATTTTGATAATTGATTTCTTTTATGTGTACTACTAATTATTTACATATTTATATCACATAGGTATACGTACACATTCCAGTATAATATTATAATAAGGATTTACAGTTTTTACGTATTGGTTTCGTTCCTGAAAGACGGAGAAATGTAAATAATTGGAAGTAAAAAAAAAGAAAAGACGGTGCTTTGAGCGAAGGAACGATAAGAAAAGGAGCAGATAAATAGAAAAGAAAGAAAATTAGCCCATGATCCGCATCAAGAAAGAACATAAAAATTGTCAAATTAAGGATACAGATATTAGATATTAGATATTCATTAAAAAAAGCTGAACAAGCATTCAGGAGAAAAAGTCGGAGGAAGTTGGAGATAAAGGAATGAGTGATGAACCTGTGGTAAGCTGATTTACGTTAATTATATTTAGTCGTTGACAATTGCTGAAGCAACATCTCCGAGATTACCCATCCCCTTCAAAATCAATATTAATAGGCAATTCAATCGTTATTTATTTACTTGTCAATCCACTGATTTCATTTCTTATTTAATCGTATACGATTATCTTATTAAAAAATTCATAACAATTTTCTCGAATGCTGCAGCCTTTACGGACTACAACATCATTTAGGCTTACCTTACTGAGTTTCCAACAAGTAACGAAGTAAAAGCAAAGTTGAGCAAAAAGCTTTCGGTACGTGAAATTTTCTTACAATGTATTGTATTTTAATAATATATGACAATTTAAATGATATATATATATATATAAATAATGTGATTATTTTACTAATTTTTCATTTTTATGTAATAATTCTGAAAATTATATTAGTGCTAATTAATACAACATATTCAATTATAATAATGAATAAAATTCAATTTTACTTTTTTACACAATTCAACATAAAAATTTTCAAATAGCAGTTAGTAAATATTAAATTAAATTTAAATGGTTGTATATTTGCAATTAGAAATCTTTGAACATTTACTTACTGGCAAATAAATTATAAAGTTTACTTAGAATTATAATGTTTATTTTCTTCATGAAACTTCAATTAAGATTTTTTCAGTTTTTAATTCTTTAATTATCAAAAATCTCTCAGAAACCCGGTCCGAATTGATTTTAATTAAAACTTTGTATATCTATTAAATTATTTATATTGCAAACTTTTACTTAATACCTTTTTATTTTCATATAATGAACATATTTTTAAGCATATGGTAATTATAAAAAATAACGTGTTTTCAATTAATACGTAATTATTAAGAAAACTAATTAAAACACATTTATTAAGAATCTAATTATAAGAATGTTCAATATTTTAGTTATTTTTAAATTTCCTTGATATTATTAATAATAACGTTTTAGCACATTTTGAAGATTTTGTTCGACAAAGGAATATTTTATGAAAGACTTAAAGGTTTTACTTCCACGCAAAGCCCTGTCGTTATTTCTTTCAAATTGAGTTTTGATTTTTAAATGTTACTTCATAGAGAGTTACGATCTTATATTTGAAAAGCCGCTCACGTACATTCCTTGATGTATATTAATGAAATCTGCAAGGCTTAGTTTCTATCACGAAGAAAAATATGAGGTTTTTTTATAAAAAATTGAACGAATTACAGTGTCCCACAGCTTCAGAAATTCCTTGTGTACAATCTTAATAAAGAAAGGGCTATCAAACTCGAGGAGATCATCCAGACTTGCATTTTTCCATAAGACCTCGATATATTGCCAATATAAAAGTACGGCGTACCTTTGTCAAAATAATCACCGAACTAGCATAATGAAAGAGAACGCGGACAAAACGGATCAAGCGCAGCGCGTAAAGGGCGGATTTGCTGTACTTTAATAGATCTTGAGCTAGACGGATATTACTCACCGTTCTATTCCCAAGATTCTTAACCTTGCAGAAAAGAACTGCCGGCTGTCCTATAAGGGCAGTCACGTTCTCGCTACCCTCTTCGGCGAAGTGAGCCTTGGCGCTCATCGCCGTTGGCATCCCCACCGTTCTGGGCTGCTGCGCGCGCTTCTCGGCCCCAATGTCCTCCCGCTTCTCTCCGACGCTGGCGGTGGCCCCATCGATCAGCCTGAGACCGCCTCCTGGAAAAATGACCGGGTGATTTCCGCTTTAGTGTATACACGCGTAACGCTCAAAAGCGCAAGCTCTGGCAGGTCCATTTAAAACGCAAATTCCCTTTTTTTTTTTATGTGGATTGAAAGAACGAGTGCAAAGAGTTGGAGTGGGGATGGGATGGTTGGAGGAGGTGGATTTGTGGGGTGTGTGGGAAGGATTTTTTATTTTTCTTGCTTATATTCTATCTTTTTTTTTTTTTTTTTTTTTTTTTTTTTTTTTTTTATCGAGTCGATTTCGGGGATCGTTGGAGGCCGAGGCTGATTTGTTATCGAAGATTTGTTATAAAACTTTTCTGTTTTTCGTTTGTAATGAAACGCGGCAAAGAGGATTTTTCAAACAAAAATATGTATGCTTCTATCATCATTTAAAACATTTTCCCAATACATCTATATGTTTTTCGGTATATTTACTTTAGTATTTTACTCATACACAATTATATAAAAAATATTATTTAGATTGCGCAATTACATTTATTCAAATTATATAAGATGTAATTTTAGGTTGGTAAAAAATTTTATATAAAATGCTGCGGGAGGATGAGCTGCCGAACGATGTATTAAAATTAGTTCCTGCATAAAAGTATTTGTTTTAAATTTATTTACTCTAACATATTAAAGTAAATTATGAAATAATAGACATTATACAATGATTGTAAATTTTAAACATTTCAAAAATTTGTTCGTTCATGCGGAACCATTGGGAGTTTTTAGCTTTAAACGATTTCGTTACTATAATGTAAAACATATATTCAAAACAAAATAAAATTTGATGATTATTAGGAATAATTTTTACATATAACAAGTTTTTTGAGTTTTAAAATTTTATCTATTCTTTTAAATATAACTTGATTTAAGTAAAACAGTAAAATTGTAAAGGAAAACAATATTTAATATAAATTTTTTGTCTAAAGTTATTTAATATTATAATTAATTAAATATTTCTTACACAATTTCAATTGCAGGAACGTGAACATAAATTTATTTTTAAATATTGTGTTAAATATCATGTTATTTAAATAAAGTTATTAATTTCATATAAAAATTGAAAATTATTGCTCACAATTGATTTATTTCATATAAAATTTTACCCTGATATTTGTTCACTATATTTTAATATATCTTTACTATAGAAATACTAATTTTTATGTTTTATATTCTTCTTCATTCACTTCAAAATTTCATTGAAAGCGAATATACAAAGCATTAAATTATTAACACAGACATAAGATATAACAAAAGAAAAATTTTCTGTGCACATTCCTCCAGTTTACATAAATATAAATTCATTGCCTATTTTTGTACGGCCTATTTCACTCTTTACAATAACAAATTAATAGAAACATTAATAAAAAAATATAATTAATAAAAAAATTGTAATTACTAAACTACTTTTCACGTAAAAGAATTTATTAATCTTATATTCTTTGTGACAAATTTTCAGGCGTGCCGATATTGTACATGCCGATAATTTTTTAAGTAAAAGTTCAAAATTGTAATTCAAATGTTATTGAGCATTATAAAAAAAATAAGTTTTTAACAATACAATGAAAATTTAAAAAAATTTAGACTGTAGCATATCAAATTATAATAAATTAATATAAAAAATTTTGAAAATTCTAAATTAATTCTCTGATTCATTTGTGAAATATAAATATATAATCAAAATTTTCAATATTTTAAGCAAACAACTCATAAATATTAAACAAATCTAAAATATTTATATGGAGGATAAAAATAAAGTGTACATGTTCTGCTACTCTATTGTAAAAATATAATTGTAAAACAATATATTTTAAAATAATATATGAATGGTATAAAAGTATGTGTATATAATAAATAAAGCAAATTTCGCTATCGTCGTAGAATTAAAATTGCTTGATAAACATTAAAGAACTACGTACATTTGAATGTAAATCAAAAGAATTATGATTAAAATATAAAATAAATATTAATTGAAATCAAATAAAACTTCATTATAATTATTTATAAATTCAATTTGTTAAAAGTAAGAACCACAGTCTTCCATAAACGAAATAGCTAACACAAGATCTAAATTTATCTTTTAGCTATTTCTTATCATTTCAGATACACCCATCCAGCCTTCAGATTAATGAAATTTTCTATAATCTTCCACTAACAAGGAACTCATATTCAATGTTCTAATAACTTATCAAAATCCTGGATCGAATTCAACATTCTTGTATAATTAAACCTTCAAGACCATCTTTTGATTAAAATTGTAATATTAACTATGAATTGATACACATAATTTTATACAGTGAAATACCTGTAAACTTCTGGTTTCTTCTTTCAAATACTTCGAAGGAAAAGTTATATTTTAAGAATTTTCTCTATAGCCACTCTTAGAATTGAATCTTTATAATTATTCTATTATATAAAATGTACATTTTAAAACTATTATATATTATATAAATAATATTAGTTAACTATTTATTAGTAGTAATTAAGTAGTTATTAGATAATAATTAATAATATTTATTGTATAATATTAATTAATAATTAATAATTAGGTAATTATTAGTTAACATTAGTTTTATATATGATATATAATAATATATAAAATTAATGTATATAAATTGTATAAACAATCTAAATCTACAAAATTATTATTATTTGTTTTACTATTAAAATAGATAATAAAGGTTACAAGATAAATTATAATTATACGAAAGTTTAATTATATATTGAACTAAATTTATAGAATCATATAATAATTACAATGAACAATATGTATATAAATTGCTTATTAACAAATAAATAAATTATTTATATATATATATATATATATATATATTTATATTATTACATATCGTATATACTTTTTTATTACATACATATCTTATATACTTTACATATTTATAATAAAATTTTTTGTATACAAAAATATTTTTGTAATTCTAATAAATCTAGCATACGAATGTTTAAATTTATAATTACTATATAATATATAATTTAATAAGAATTATAAGAATGGTCGAATACACAAATCAAAATAATATATCATTTAATAGCATTCGGAAAATATACTCATTTTCCAAATAAAAAGTATATGGTTAAAAAAATATCGTTATGAAAATTTTATTATAAAAATAATATAAAGAATTCTTCACAATTGTTTTATGAAAGAAAACTACAATTTATATAAACATGTAATTAAAAAAAAAAAATTAAAAATTGCTGTGAATTATACATTTTATATTTTTACCATAGAATAAATTATTTCCAAAAATATTAAATTTTATTTATCTGCTATCTAAAATTAATAAAAATATTTTTTGAAAAAAAAATAATTCAAAAATTAAGATTGATCAATTCGTCAATAATGATAAAAGATACATAATACTGGATTATTTGAAATATTTATTCTAGAAAGAATATTTTCATATAGTATTGATTCTATAAAATCAAAATCAATACAAAAGCTGTTATAAGTCATGGACAGAATTACAAAATAGGATTTTCTGAAATTCTATACAACATCCTAACTCAATAATTGATTGTTCAATTGACTTTGAATTTCGCATGAATATTCACAATTATATTTAAACTTGCGTTATAAGCCTTTTATTTTTATAATAAGGATTTATTTACCGTGAAAAGTTTTTTCATGTGTAATACCTTTGATAAAATTGTAAAAGTGTAATCTTTGATAAAATTATGTTTTACAAATAAAGTATATATATATATATATATATATATATATATATATATATACCATAATATATATACCATATATATACATATAACCAGTAGTTATGTTATATTTTTTAGTAAGTCAGCATAATCGTCGCAATATATTGTATTTAATAAATTAATTAAGTACGAACACATAACGACATTACATATTCTCCATTACATTATAAATTTATTTACAAAATACTTTTATTGTATGATATTAGTACATAATGGTAGTCTGGTTTGTATTAATCGTATTACCTATAATAAGCTGAAAGCAGAGTACTATTTTATCTGATGCAATAATACTGCAAATACATAATTATGTTGTAATATTCAATAGAAATTTTTTAGTATATCATTCCGTTAATTATTTATTATTTAAACAATAATTTGTATTTGGCGCATTGAAAATCATACAATGCATAATATTGTGTAATACATAATTTGATAATTGACTTGATTTGTAACTTAGAATAATACAGTATTATAGCTTGTAATTCAAAGTATTTTTAACAAAGAATGATTATTATTATTATTATATCTTTTTATTGTTTTTTCTATAAAATAATTTTATACAAGAGCTTATAGTTTTATATAATTATATATTTTTAAAATACTTCACCGCTTTCAGCTATTAATCATTATTAATTACTAACTTGATTGTTCTGACATTATGAATAAAATTTTAATCAAGTTCAAAGGTTAAAACATTATATTTTATTAGATATAATGAAATGTTAATTTATTAATTAATTGATTGATCGTTAAAAAAAAAAAAAAAAAAAAAAAAAAAATACGCACATTTAATAAAGTTATCTTCAAAGTTGTTGGTAGTTTGCGAATCTCTCGATAAGTGATACTTCTACAATCTGTGAGAATTTCCGAGAAAGAGGTAAAGTTATCCTAGGACTGTAAAGCCAAACTATAATTTCACTGCCTTGACTTACTCAACAATTCACAGATAGCCTCACCAGTTGCAACAAATGTTATCCAGCTGTGGTAACTCATAATATTCACAACTTTTTACTCCTAAATTTGAGCGTTCGCGATAAAATTAAGTAATTAGCATAAATTAGCAATAAAAGTACATTGTATAAATTCAAACATAATGCGAGAAAGTGGAAGCTCTAATAAATTGAATAATTCTATAAACATAAATTTTTCCTTTTCAATAATATAAATTTTAATAGTTACTCTGACAAGAATCATTTAAATACAGTAATTTGCTTTTAAAAGAATTAAAAATAGATAATAAAATTTAATGGTCA